AGTGAATTTCCAAACAAGTTGTCCGAATTAAAACAATGAGTGAATTTTCCAAACAAGTTGTCCGAATTAAAACAATGAGTGAATTTTCCAAACAAGTTGTCCGAATTAAAATAATGTGTGAATTTTCCAAACAAGTTGTCCGAATTAAAACAATGAGTGAATTTTCCAAACAAGTTGTCCGAATTAAAACAATGAGTGAATTTTCCAAACAAGTTGTCCGAATTAAAACAATGAGTGAATTTCCAATTGTTTTAATTCGACAACTTGTTTGAGTGAATTTCCAAACAAGTTGTCCGAATTAAAACAATGAGTGAATTTTCCAAACAAGTTGTCTGAATTAAAACAATGAGTGAATTTCCAAACAAGTTGTCCGAATTAAAACAATGTGTGAATTTTCCAAACAAGTTGTCCGAATTAAAACAATGAGTGAATTTTCCAAACAAGTTGTCCGAATTAAAATAATGTGTGAATTTTCCAAACAAATTGTCTGAATTAAAACAACGCGTGTTTTCACTTGGAAAAGCTTTAATCTATTTCAGCTTTTACCTCATCAACACCAAATAAGCAGCTTTAAGCCACTTAGTTGTAAACATCTCCACCCGAGCTTTTCTTAAGGTTTCATACTGTATATAGGACAGTTTTTAAAAACTTGGGCCAATCACAGGCTAATGGATAGCGCGTCGGACTGTGTTATCACCAAATAAAGCACTCCGCAATTGGAAGCCGTGGGTGCGTAACAAAAGTGACGGTCAAATCGCATTATTTGGTTAGATTAACCCACAAGTTGGCGGTGGGTGGTGTTGACTAACTACCTTCTCTCTATTCTATAAATTCAGCAAACGACATCTGTTAAACTTGTGTGTTAAAAAACTTTTTTTCAGAATTTTTCATACGAAGCTACACAAAGCGTTATCCGCGAAATGCGGTCCCTAAATTTGAGCTGATAGATAAGAAGGAATGCTAACTCTTGGGCTATATTTGTCTTATCGAATAGTGGGATTTGACAGTCACTCTTATAACACATTTATGTTCCCAAAGTGCAAAACAACTTTCTGTGGCAGCGTGTTGCGGAATCCACAGATTCAAAGTCTGACCACGCCCGACCCATGTAACAAACGAGTTTCCCGAAAAGACTAAACTGTCCAACTTATCTAGCAACAAACCGTTTTGGAATATCGTAACAGTCAATTATTTATATAACAAAGTACAGGTTTGTCCGTATCTAAGCCTAACATACCCTATACATATCCAGTTTATACAACCGAACACATCCATGATTTTAAAACAGTACTATTTTATTGCTATACATTACCGAGATACGAGCTACAAAGGCTCCTGGCGGAAGAGATTCTCCCACAGATGCCTCATAGGGGGCGCCCTCAAACTCTGGGGCGCTGTTGTTGATATCGGTGACGTTGACGTGAACAACGGCTACAGATGACCTGGAAAGTAAGGGAACAGCCTTTAATTAGTGTTTTTCTCTCTCGTTTTGCAATTAATTACAATAAGGTACTTAATGGATTGTCCCCAAGATAAAGTTTAATTGAAACACCTTAAGTACTTATCTGTCTAAGAGTTCATGAGTGAATATGTTAATACACGACTACATCTGCCATATCCGGTGCCGAAGAGGCCTTTCGGTTCATACCAGGGCTCCTCAGGCCGTCTGGGACACAACAGTGGTCCAGGTTCTACATTTATCATCAGTTGCCATTTACTACAACTGTTATGGCGAATTACATAAGAACAGGGGTGAAATTCTGCCGGTACTCACCGGTATTAGGTACCATAACTAATTTTTTTAAAGCGGTACTAATACCTGGACTTATTTGAGCTACTTTGTCGTTTTCTGTGTTTACAGGTAGAGCTGAGTACCTCCACTTTTGTTAACAGGTCCACTTCACCCAGCTGAGTACCTCTACTTTTGTTAACAGGTCCACTTCACCCAACTGAGTACCTCTACTTTTGTTAACAGGTCCACTTCACTCAACTGAGTACCTCTACTTTTGTTAACAGGTCCACTTCACCCAACTGAGTACCTCTACTTTTGTTAACAGGTCCACATCACCCAACTGAGTACCTCTACTTTTGTTAACAGGTCCACTTCACGCAGCTGAGTACCTCTACTTTTGTTAACAGGTCCACTTCACCCAACTGAGTACCTCTACTTTTGTTAACAGGTCCACATCACCCAACTGAGAACCTCTACTTTTGTTAACAGGTTCACTTCACCCAACTGTGTAACTCTACTTTTGTTAACAGGTTCACTTCACTCAACTGAGAACCTCTACTTTTGTTAACAGGTCCACTTCACCCAGCTGAGAACCTCTACTTTTGTTAACAGGTCCACTTCACCCAGCTGAGA